CGCACCTGTGGCGCGCGCGTAGTCATTTGCTCTCGCGCGCATTTGGCACGTCGCTCGAGTTGTCCTTGCCCACGCGCTTTTGGCGTATGGCTGCTTCGTTCGTTCGATGGCTCACTCGGTATTGGCATTCGGGTGTGCAGGTGAAGTGCCCAGTCGGCTTCTCCAATCGACGCGCGTCTCGCCCGATACTCTCGGTTATGTTTGGACGTCGGTTGGCTACCCCGAGGGGGTCCACTCGGTACGCGGTGACGTCCGCACGCGGAGTGCCCCTGGCAGCTTCCGCACAGTGGCATGTCTCCAAGGGCCATGTCTACAGTCGGGGCCCTGAAGAAGGAACCCTTTTCGTTGGGGAGGGGCTCCGTGTTCCTTGATTGCTTCGCAGTTTGCCTTGGGTTGTCCTTTGGTTTTCGATGGGGAATCGAAACTCAACTTGTGGATGAAAGGGGCCTCGTTCCTTTATTTAAGGTTCCTTAGGTCAACGCCCCGACTGTCGTCCCTGGGAGTTGGCCCAGACCTCTGGGGAGAGGCGCTGTGGACAACAAAAATGCGACGTCGGTCGTCTGGGGCCTGCTCAGGAATCAGGAAGCGCAGACATGGACCAGGGCGCATGGATGGGCGACGGGTGCCCGTTTCCTCGTCCATTTGACTCGCTCAGTCGCGAAATCAGGCGGCGTTGGTTTCATGTTTCGCTCCGATCCGTGGACCTGGTACCCAGGCGACAGATCCACGGACCCGTCGTCCATGTTAGCGCGTGCCCGAGGAAGGCGGGTGGCGCCGAAGAGGAGTGGCGCACTAATGTTCAGAATCTTGTTATCCGTGCTGTGCGTGCACACCCTCATCTCATGGCCTTCTTTGACGTGGGCGCTGGAACGTGAATCGACCATGCTGGTCTGCACGTGCACATTGCATGGTTGATTAACCAGTTGCTTCATGATGAGGAAACGGGCGTTGCAGCATGCCAGTGATGTCCCTTAGCACGAACTTGCATGTAAGCGCGCAAGTGTGCAACGCAATCGTGAGCGGTTGCGTGGTCTTCACAAGTCTGTCAGGCTCGGTACCAGTATGTTCGAATGTAGTGGCCGTCCGCGTGATTATGTGCAGCATGCTGGCAATGAGCTTCCAAGATGATAGGGTGACGTACTTGCGGCGCGCGTACCTGAACGCACATCTTGGGATACGATGCTACCGCGCATCCCGTGCGCTGATGTTCTCATGCCCGAGCTCGAGTGGAAGTTGGCCCGTGAAGAGTTTACTGAATTCGTGGAACAATTTTGGGATTCCATTCCAGGGATCGATGGTTTGCCCTCTGGTTGTGGAAAGCACGCTGGTGAGCAAGACATTATGTATCAGTTCTATTGCCATTGCACTTCCCACCGTCATGTTCCTTTTTCCGGATGACCTTCATGAAATGCGTTTGGTGTTCATGGCGAAATGAATTTTTCCGTCTGATGTCTCTGCTGCGCTTGCCCGCAAGCCTTCCTCGCTTCGCTTTCGGTCTTTAGGATGCACCGACTATGCATTGGTTACTGCGGCCGTCGCATGCCTTCTGACCAGGGTCCGTGCCCAGTCGTCTCACTCTTTGCAGTTTGGGGGCGTTCCTGGCCGGTCGGTCCTGGACAATATCATTGCCTGTAAAGCTACTGGGGCGCTTGCCCTTGGAGGGGCATGATCATTTGGCCCAGCTATGTGTTGACTTCAGGCCGCGTTGTCTAGTTGGTTTGCTGAGTGGGCGCCGTTCGTCCTGGGAAAGCTGGAGATTCCGTTCTGGTCCCTGGAGTTGTTTGAACATCTTTACGAAGACAATGCTATTAGGGTGCATTTCCGTAGGGTTATCCTGGCTTCTTCCGCGTGGGCCGGGGGGTCGGCTAAGCAGCGTGTCCAACGTCGGTGTCCCTGTTCGCCCTCGCCTTCATTTTCCCACCTCTATCAGCTGGAAGACTGTGCTCTCCAGGTCCTTCAAGCTGGCTCTCGCTACAGCACTGCAGCATGGTAACGTGGCTCTTGGATCGTAGTAGGGGTGTCATGCGCACTTTACGTCGATGAAGCATGTTGCGAAAACGTCGGTGTTTCGGACAGCTTATGGATCTTCCGCCTGGCAAACCTACCAGACTGTCCTTGCGATCGTGCGTGCCCGCTCTTCTGATAGCATGTCTGCCCGTCTGGCGTTGCAAGGGTGGTTTGTGATCTCGCTCCTGTCATGTCTGATCCAGTGACAGGGCTCTTGCCGATTGCCAGTCGTACTGATGCTGATCCCGCTGCAGTGTTTCAAGCACAGTTTTCTAACGCGTTGAGGAACTCGGAAACACCTGGTGCGGTATTTGGTGCAGTTCCCAGGAGAGAGCTGAAATGACTTCCACTTCTTCTTGCCCCTGGCATGTGGTTTGCGATGTTCCAAACTCGAGCGCGGAAGGTTTGCCGCTCAGTTTCAATATTTTCGTTGTGGCTGTTTTGCGGGTCCTCTGCTGAGGTGTTTGGACCTCTGCGAGATCCCACGCGTTCCCAACAGCTTTCGTGCTTGGCTGTGGGCGTGGCAGGGGCGACCAATGCCATTACATGCACTGTCCGCGTGTTCTTGCTTTGTTTTTCGACTTGGGCCCCGAGCGTTTTCCCCCTTGGCTTCGCCTCCTCCTTTCCCGTCCTCTGTTGTGTCGACGGGACCTCTCCCGGCAATACACGCGACGTTGCTCGGTGTGCTTATGGCGAGAGTTCTGTTCATGCGCATTCGCATTTCCGCCGTCGAACTGCGACTGCAGTAACCATTCCTGAGCAGGTTTTCAAAGGTCGTTTCCGCTTGCTCAAGCAAGGCCACCGCCGGAACAGTCTTGGCGAGATGCAGCCGCTTGAGAGCCCTCCGAGGCTGGAGAACTTCCAAGAATAAGCGATAACGACCGAACACCGCTAACCTCGAACTTGGATTCCCCTCCCCCTAATCCTAATCCTCGGGCCTTTTCCCAGGGTGCGTTCTGGCCCGGATTTCGAAGCTGATCCGTCTGTGGCGACGACGGCCTCCCAGGAGGTCCTCTCCCCCTCCTCCGTGGCCTCTCTTCCTCCTCCTCCTCCTCCGCCTACTCCCCCTTTTCCTCTACTTCTCCTCCTCATTCTCTCCTCCTCGTCCTCCTCCTCTCCTCCTCCTCCTCTCCTCCTCCTCCTCCTCCTCCTCCTCCTCCTCCTCCTCTTCCTCCTCCTCCTCCTTCTCTTCCTCTTCCTCTTCTCCTCCCTTCCTCTCCTCCTCCTCCTCCGCCTCCTTTCCCTTTTCCTCTACTCCTCCTCCTCTTCTCCTCCTCGTAATCCTCCTCTCCTCCTCCTTCTTCTCTCAACCCTTCCTCCTCCCAACCCTTCGTTTTTTGACGTGCAGGCGAACACGTTCGGGCTGGAGCGTTCGGAAGGCGCAACAACAACCGATTCAGCGTAGCGAGGACAAACTAAGGCGAAGTAGGCGGCAGGCCCGCTCGGTACAAGCTGGGCAAAAGGTATTGAAAAAGGAGAGGACCCAGAAGGGCGCAGAGAGACGCCCCTTGCCGCCGCTGCGGACGGGGGGAGATCCTCGAAATCAGCATCACACCCTCTGAACATACACCACGGAGCATGCAACAATAAATTCAAAAAAGTAACGATCGAAGGCCAGCCCCCTCCTCCTCCTCCTCCTCCTCCTCCTCCTCCTCCTCCTTCTCCTCCTCCCTCTTGCTTCCCCTCCTCCTCCCCCTCCTCCCTCTCCTCCTCCTCCTCCTCCTCCTCCTCCTCCTCCTCCTCCCCTCTCCCTCCTCCTCCTCCTCCTCCTCCTCATCCTCCTCCTCCTCCTCCTCCTCCTCCTCCTCCTCCTCCTCCCCCCTCCTCCTCCCCCTCCTCCTCCTCCGTCTCCTCCTTCTTCTCCTCCATTTCCATTCCTGTTCCGTCTGAATAACTTTTCCTTGTCGCACCCCGAGGCAAGTTTTTAGGGCGGTCCGGGCGTTTCGCCGGAGACCTCCTCACCATTGATGACCCTGAAGTTCAACAAAATGTCAACAGTGTCACGGATTGAGGGCGGGTGATTTTCAAAATGTGGCTCTCGTTTTTAGACATTTGCCAGAGTTTCGCGGATTGAGGGCGGTTGGTTTTCAAAATGTGGTTCTCGCCTTAGCCACGCACATTTGTCTTCAAATTCTTCAGAACTTCACGGGTTGAGGGCGGGTGGTTTTCAAAATGTGGCTTGCGCCTCAGCGCCGCGCACATTCGTCTTCAAACTTTTGCAAGAGTTCCACGGATTGAGGGCGGTTCCATCTCACTATGTGACTCTCGCCTTCAGCGCCGCGCACAATCGATTCTATCTATGTAAAATTTTCACGGGTTCCCATGATCAGCGTATTCGAATTTGTGTTTTGGAAGGATTCAGGATTATGAGGGCGCAACAGTTGCGTTGATTCGCGGTGTTTCACTCCAAAGAACGGCGTTCTGGTACGATTCTGGATCGTCAAGACGCAACAGTCAGGTTGATCCGCGGCGTCGGACTCCCGAGAAATATGTGTTGGCATGCATCAGGGTCTTCAAACGGTTGTCTTCTAACGAGGCAGCTTCCTCAGTGGAAATGAACCCTTGTAAGGGCCTATGAAGAGGGAGCTTGGATGGAGGTTTTATTCCAGCATCATTGATCAGTCTTGGGCTTGCACTGGTCATCCTCCTCATCATCATCATCCTCCTGCCTCCTCCCCCTCCTCCCCTCCTCCTCCTCTCCTCCTCCTCCTCCTCCCCTCCTCCTCCTCTCCTCCTCCTCCTCCTCCCCTCCGCCTTCCTCTCCCCTCCTCCTCCTCCTCCTCCTCCTCCTCCTCCTCCTCCTCCTCCCCCTCCTCCCTCCTCCTCCTCCGCCTTCCTCCTCCTCCTCCTCCTCTCCTCCCTCCTCCTCCTCCTCCTCCTTCCTCTCCTCCTCCTCCTCCTCCTCCCTCCTCCTCCTCCTCTTCCTCCTCCTCCTCCTCCTCCTCCTCCTCCTCCTCCTCCTCCTCCTCCTCTTCCCCCCCGCGGCCCTCCAGGACAGGCTGCTGCTCCACTACGCCCGCGGCCTGCAGGCCCTCCGCGGCGAGGGCCCCTCGCCGGCGCCGCCCGGCGCCGGACTGCTGGCCTGCGCGGGCGGCGGGGCGGACGACGCGTCGGCGGCCGCGTGCCCCGCAGGGGGCTCGAACAGCGAGCGACCCTCGCTGGCATCGGGCGTCTCGAGAGAACATGGGGACCCAGAGATCCAACGCTTTGACAAAAATCAAGACGGAGTTTTTTTTTTTGAGTTTCTGGCCTCTATGGGGCCCTCGCCGGGCCCCGGGACCGTCAAAAAACGACTCAGGATGAAAAACCGGTCCCGGGGAAAGGGTCGATACTTCTGGGGGCCCCGCAGTGAAGAAATCAGGACATCGGATCCTTGGGGACGGAGGTCTTTCTTTAGTTTTCGGCCTCTCGGGGCCCTCGCCGGGTCTCGGGGCCGTCGAAACACGATTCGGGATGAGAAGCTGGTCCCGGGGAAGTTGCCAGGAGATCGGGGGCCCGCGTTTCGAAAAAGCGGAGACGTCGGATGTCTTGGGCACCTTTGGTCAGGGCACCTCTTCATCGGGCGTAGGAGAACCCCTAACCCTAAGAACGCAGTGAAGACGTGGCCTCACCCAGGTCCCCGTCTCTGCATGAGGGATCATGCATCTGGTCGGTTTGGCTCGATACATCTGCAGAAGAGACTCCCTGTCCCTGGTGCCTCTGGCCCTCCCCTGTTAGGTCCTCTCCCACAGGATCGGGGGTCTTGTTTGGTTATGCGTTTCGGGTCATAGCTCGGGTCTCCAGCGGCCGGGCACTCGTGGATCGCCCTTCGCGAGTCGCAGCTGCCGGAAGGCACCCCGAGGCTTTGAACACCACCGAGCAGCAACGGAAACGCCAGATTCCCGTACTTTCTAACCCCGGACTTTGAACGCAGCGCCGCGGAGGAGGTGCATCCGCGGTCGGCTGGTGTGCCCCGTGCCGCGGTGGCGTCTCCCGAGGCGTCAGCACGCGCCCTTGGCAACGCCAGGGCCCATGGCCAGGGCCATGGCCCGAGCCCATACCCAGACATGCGACGTCCTGATTTTTTCAGAACGGCGTCCCTGAAAGTCCCGTCCCACTGTCCCCGCCACTCCTTCACTACTGTCCCCACCACTGCCGTCCCCAGCCACTGTCCCACTGTCCCCACCACTGCCCCCCTGTCCCCTCACCACTTTCTCCACCACCACCGTCCCCACCACTGTCCGCACCACTGTCCCACTGTCCCCCTCACCACTGTCCCCACCACCACCGTTCCCACTGTCCCAGCCCAGTATCCCCACCACTGTCCAACTGTCCCGAGGAGCGGGAATCGCTTGCCGGCGGCGAGGGGGTGAGGGGGGGGGAGAGGTTCGAACCGTGACCACCCTCGGTTTTCGAAGGAGGGGGTCGAGCCGGTAGATGGACTGGGGGGGGGGGGGGGTTCGGACCGGCAGTGACCCCCCCCGCCGTTTTTTGGCGGGGGGGGGGGACGGGGGACGGGTTGGGACCCCCCAGTGAGCCCCCCCCCGAGCCCCCCCGCCCGGTTGTCCGCCAGCAGCGGCAGAGCACGCTCTTTCGCATCTGAGGTGCCCCCCCCCCAGGTACAGCGTGGCCGGCGGCCCCCTGCCGGGCTCCTTCGCGCCCCCCGCGCGGGCGCCGCCGCGCCTGGACGGGCGCCTGGCCAGCGAGCCGGGCTGCCCCTTCTGGTGCTCGCCGTGGCGCACGCGGGGGGGCCCCGAGCCTTCGGGTGGGCCCCGAGAGGTGGTCCAGCGGCAATCGAGCAGCGGCGAAGCGTCCTGGCTCGCCTGCAGGCCCACCAGAGAATGTTCTGAGAACCTTTTTGTGGTCTGCACGAGATGTTCTCAGAGCGTTTTTGTTGGCTGGGACTGTCTTGTTTTAGCACATCGGGCTTATGATGTTCTCAGAACATTGTCTTTGTTCTCAGAACATTTGGGGGTTCTAAGAACATGTCGTGGTAGGCCTATAGGAATGCTGGGACGGTCGGCCCCTGCTCCAGACAAGGGGGTGGTGCAGTGGATTTGGTGCAATACATGTGGGGCGTGCAATACATGTGGGGCGCGCAACACATTCGGGGGCGCAGATGTATTGTTGGATCTTCGCGTGCAATGCACTAATTGCAATACAGTGCAATCCAATTCTCCTGCGCAAAACATCTGCGATCCAATTGCCCGAAATCTATTGCACCACCCCCTTTCAGTTGGCCCCGCTTTTGGGTCACCCAAAACCCTCCGCGCGCAGGGAGGGGGGGAGAGTCAGAGTCAGAGGAGGGAAAGGTAGTGACCCATCCTCCCAGAGATCCAACGCTCCAGCACAACCTTGGAGCGGGCGGTTTGGGGCTGATTTCGGCCTCCCGGGGCCCTCGCCGGGCCTCGGGACCGTCAAAAAACGACTCGGGACGAAAAGCCGGTCTTGGAAAGACGGTCGGGAGATCGGGGGCGCGTTTCTCGAAAGAATACAGACGTCGGATGCTTGGGAGGAGGAAATGGTACCCATACCGCTACCCTACCCTCGTTTTCCCCTGTTTGGGCCTACTGGGAGGCCATCGTCACCAACGCCAGATGCGCCCTGAAATTCTGGTCCGCAGGCACCCGGGGAGAGGTCGGGGGAGTACAGCGGTATCGGTATTCTTTGGTCTTTAGAGGGGGGCTTCTTTGAAGCACCCCTGCTTCTTAGAAGGTGCGGGCTTTGTCTGAAGATGTAGGACCAGCGCCTTCTGAGAAGCCTCCTTCTAAGAAGCCACCCCCTCTCCCCCCACCCCCTTGTGTGCGCGTCGCCAACCGAATGGAAGCGCGTCCTGAGGTTATGTCACAAGAACCGCCAACCCCCTCCTGTGTGCGCGCCGCCAGTTCATTTGTCGAAGAAGAAACAACGATGTACACGTAAACTGTCGGAGCTCCGCGCGGATTTCTTGGATCGGCGTTGGGCCCCCCTGGCGGCACCTCCGGCGCCGCCCCCGGCGCGCCCCGCGCGCCAGGGAGTGGGGGCCAGCGTGGATCCAAGCAGTCCGCGCGGACTTCCGAGACTTGATGTTTCTGTTAAGTCGGGCCTGCGGAATATTCCAGAATAGTCAACAGATATCGTCTGGGGGCGATGTTTTGAGCATTGCTTGTTTATATATATACATACATACATACATACATACATACATACATACATACATACATACACACATACATACATGCATGCATGCATACATACATACATACATACATACATACATACATACATATATATATATATATATATATATATTGGATGTTTCCATTTGTTCGTCCAAAAGCCCCCTGTGGGAGGACACGCCCGACTTAATGCTCATGCTGGCTTATGTTCATCTGCTTCCGGGCCCGCGGGCCCTCCCTAAGGGGGCCCTGGTCCTCACAAGGGAGGCCCTGGCTTCCCTCGAGGTCCCCATTGCAGACCTCCGTGTGTCAGGAGGGAAAAACACACAGACACAATTAATGGTCGATTCCCCCGAAAATATGGGGAAAATATGGGAAGTGGGAGGGAAGACAAAAACCCAGAAAATATGAAAAGTACGGGGGATCCTTTTATCTGTGTGTATTTGTTTGTGTGTCCTGGGGTCCCTTCAGTCCTTCAGTGTGTCTTTGTCCACGCGGGCCTCCCGGCGCTCTGCCACTTCCCAGGGGCAGTTTTGTCTGTCCCCGACGGTTTTCTCACTGTCCCGGGGCCCGGCGAGAAGGCCCCCAGAAGGTCTAGAGCGCGACGAGGAGCCTCGGTTCTCCGCTCTCCCCGAGGCTTGCCCTCCGAGGGGGCCCTGGCTTCCTTCACCCAAAAAAGGTCTGGAGGGGTACACGGCGGGGGTTCGTCCCGCGGCGGGCCTGCGCCGCCCCGTGGGCGCCCCGTGGACGCCCCGCGCGCGGGGCGGGGGGGGGGCTGTGCGGTGGGGCCCCGGCCGCGCTGCAGCCACGAGCCGCCTCGTGGGCGCGCTCCGTGGGCTCGGGCCCCGCGCGACGCAGCCTCCGCCTTCACGGCCTGCACCACGCCGCTCTTGCACCGCACGGGCCGCACGGCCCAGCCCCCCTAGAGTCATGAAAACATCACGACGCGAGGTGTTTCGCGAGTTTCGGCCTCCGGGGGCCCTTACCGGCCCTCGGGAGCGTCAAAAAACGACTCAGGATGCAAAGCCGGTCATGGGGAATGGGTCCGGACCTCAGGGGGTCGCGTCATGAAAAAATCATGACGTCGGGGGTCTGGGGGCGGAGCTCCCCTGACCACACATTACCAGCCTGGAACATGTCCCTATCCCTCTGCTGGGCACCTCCTCCTCGCGATGCCAATCTTAGGGGTCCCCTTATTTTTAGGAGGGCGAGCCCCTAAGACTGTCATCGCCTTTGGGCGTGCCAGTCTTAGGGACAGGGATACGTTCGAGGCTCAGAAACACAGCCCCAGAGATCCGAAGTCGTGATTTTTTCAATACGGGTCCCCAGAAGTCCCGACCCATTCCCCAGGACCGTTTTTGTTTCTCCTGAGTCGTTTTTTGACAGTCCTGGGGCCCGGCGAGGGCCCCGAGAGGCCGAAAGCTTGGAGAAACCTCCGTCTTGATTTTTTCAATACGCTGGATCTCTGGGGCTCTCGCCACAGCTCGCACCGCACAGCCTGCGCACCGCACAGACGACACGACGGCCGGCGCGGAGCCGGCAGCCGGGAGCGCGCGCGGCCCTCGCAGAGAGGATCGCGCGCGGCCCCTGGAAGCGCGACCGGGCGAGCGCTCGGCCCCGGAAGCGCGGCCGAGCGAGCGCTGGGCCCTGGAAGCGCGGCCCTCGAAGCGCGGCCAGGATCGCGCGCGGCCCTCCCAGACCCCCTCGAGTTCTGAAAAAATCACGACGGGAGGTTTTTCCTTCATTTTCGGCCTCCCGGGGCCCTCACCGGGCCTCGGGAGCGTCCAAAAACGACTCAGGACGAAAAACCGGTCCCGGGGAATGGGTCGAGACCTCGGGGGGTCGACGTCATGAAAAAATCATGACGTCGGGGGTCTGGGCTCGAAGCGCGACCGGGCGAATGCGCGGCGCGGCCTCGCGGGCGCTGCTGGATGCCCGCGGCCATGGAGAGGCGAGCCTCGATAGGGGGGTGGGACACGGCGCTGGCGCGCTCCGAGGGGGCTGAGCACTGAGCCGGGCGTGTCCCTCTGCAGGGGGAGCATCCAAGAACAGTCCAAGCAATCGTCTGGGGATAGTTTGTTTCAGCATTTTGGGGGGGGCTATTTTTGCGCATGTTGTGGGTATTTCTTATTTTTCGTCCAAACCCAGACGTGCGACGTCCTGATTTTTTCAGGACGGCGTTCCTGGAAGTCCCGACCCTTTCCCCAGGACCCCTTTCTCATCCCGAGCCGTTGTTTGACAGTCCTGGGGCCCGGCGAGGGCCCCCAGAAGCCGAAAGTTCCGAAAGACCTCCGTCTTGATTTTTTCGGTGCGCCGGATCTCGGGGTGTGTGTTTCTGATCTTTCGTCCCAAACCCTCGTGCAGGGGAACACCCAGACGTCCGACGTCTCGATTCTCTCGAGACGCGGGCCCCCGACCTCCCGACCACTTCCCCGGGACCAGCTCTTCATCCCCATAGTCGGTTTTTGACGGCCCCGAGGCCCGGCGAGGGCCCCGGGACGCCGCAAACGACGAGAAACTGCCGTCTCGATTTTTGTCGAGGCGCCCGCGGTCTGGGCACGCCCGACTCGAGCGGAGCCCCGCGGCCCCGGCAGACGCGGGGCGCCGCCCGGGGCGCGGCCGCGCTCGGTGCCGCGTCTCGCCGAGGCCTGGGCCGCCTCTCGGGCGGGCGAGGCTTCACCACCCACCAAACCACCCCAACCCAACCCGAAGGCCTCGATTTGCCCTCCATTCCCAGACCCCCTCGAGTACTGAAAAAAATCACGGCGCGAGGTTTTTCGCGATTTTCGGCCTCCGGGGGCCCTCACCGGCCCTCGGGAGCGTCAAAAAACGACTCAGGATGCAAAGCCGGTCATGGGGAAAGGGTCCGGACCTCTGGGGGTCGACGTCATGAAAAAATCATGACGTCGGGGGTCTGGGTTTCCAGTTGGGGGGGGGTCGGGGAACACTGACAAACACACATCTGGAACCCGTACCCCCCCCAACCCGAAATCGGGGTCTTCGGGCTGGGTTGGGGTGGTCTAGTAGGTAGTCAGAGGCCCGAGGGCCGGGCTGCATGCAGCGCTGGCGGCCGCCTGCCCGAGGAGGGCGAGCCCAGACCTCGGGCTCACCAGCCTCGGATTCGTATCCCTATCCCTAAGATGGACACGCCAAAAGGCGACGACAGTCTCGGGGAGTCGCCCTCGAAAAATAGGGGAGTCCCTAAGATTGCCGCCGTGATGAGGAGGTGCCCCAGCATAGGGATAGGGATATGTTCCAGGCTGGTAACGGGCGTCTCGAAACAATCGAGACGAAGGTTTTCGTCGTTTTCGGCCTCTCGGGGCCCTAGCTGGGCCTCGGGACCGTCAACAAAAACGACTCGGGACGAAACACCGCTCCTGGGGAAGTGGTCGGGAGGTCGGGGGCCTGTGTCTCGAAAAAATCGAGACGTCGGATGTCTGGGAGGTGCCCACACCCGGAGGTCCAACGATGCTGAAAAAAGATCCAGGCGGACGTTTTTCGCAGCTTTTGGCTTCCATGCGGGGGCCCTCGCCGGGCCCCGGGACCGGCAAAGAACGACTCGGGATGAGAAACCGGTCCCGGGGAACGGGTCGAGATTTCCGGGGACCCCGCATTTAAAGACTCACGACATCGGATCTCTGGGTCGTCGCAGCCGCTGGATTCGCTTCGAGATCTTCGTCCGAGCGTACCCCGGCAGAGGCCTGGGGAGTAGCGGCGTCGGTACGTGCTGGGCTCCCCAGAATGGACGACGGACGAGGCCGAATGCACGCGGCAGAAGGACATTCGGCTGCGCGGTCGCAGCCGATCGGCCGAGCGTGAGCGGCGAACGGGCCTCGCGTCGCGGCACGGTCGAGCGGGCGCGGCCGCGCGAAGGCGGCCGAGTAGGCTTGGCCGCGCGGACGCGGCATCGAATGCGCCGTCGAAGGGAGCGTTCCCGATCGAGGACGCACGGGTGCGGCTGCCTGCGGGTTGGCGCTGAAGGCTTGGGGTCAGTGGCTGAAGCGCGCACTAGCTGCACTGCTCTGCAGCGTATGCCATCGGCTCCGTCGGCGGGACCCCTGCGTGCGCAAGGTCACCGCGGCGAGCCCGTGCTGTGCCGCCCGCTTCTGGCGCGCCCTGGCTTCGTTCTCAGAGGGTAGCTGCGCGGCCGTGCCAGGGTGGGCGGGTCAGTTTTCGTGTCACTCCGATAGGATGGTCGAGGATGACTGGTGGATCATTTCTGGAGATCTGGTTGCCGTGGATCGTAGGCTCTGAAGCGCCAGGCATGCCTCAAACACAGAGGTTACATTCGCCCGGCGCCCGCCCGTGCGGGCCGCGTCGGCGCCTCGTTGGCGCCCCATGCGCTGGCACCACATAGCTCACACAACACAGTTTGCACCACGTGGCTTGCAACGCATAGCTCACACCACATAGCTCACACCACATTGCTTGCACAATACAGCTTGCACCATATAGCTTACCTATACGACCACCCTTCGGGTGATAAGGAGGTTCGGGGGGGGGAGGATGCAGCGTCTCACTCGATCGGTCTCACTATCCATCTCACTATCGGTCTCGCTCGATCGATCTCACTCGATCGATCTCACAATCGATCTCACTCGATATATCTCATCCGCTCGGTCTCACAATTGATCTGATTATCGATCTCACAATCGATCTCACATTCGGTCTCACTATCGATCTCACTACCGATATCACAATCGATCTAACATTCAACGTCATCATCATCATCATCATCATCATCATCATCGTCATCATCATCATCATCATCATCACCAACACCATCATTTTCATCGTCATCGGGACACTGTCGTCATCATCATCATCGTCATCATCATCAACGCCATCATCATCAGGCCATCATCATCATCCCCATCATCATCTCATCATATTCAGCAACATCATCATCATCGGCACACAGCCTTCGTCATCATCACCATCAGCATCATCATCATCATCGGGACACCATCATGGTCACCATCATTGTCACCGTCAACATCATCAACAACATCGGGACACCATCATCATCATCATCATCAGCTAATCATCATCATCATAATCAACAGCATCATCAACATCATCGGGACACCATCATCATCAGCAGCATCATCGTCACCAACATCATCATCAATATCATCATCGGTACACCATCACCATCACCATCATCATCACCACCGTCATAATCATCATCATCGGGATACCATAATCATCATCAGCAGCATCATCATTACCAACATCATCATCAACAACAACGGGCAGAAACATCAACATCATCGTCATCTCATCATCATCAACAACATCATCAACATCACCAGCGGGACACAGCCATCGTCATCATCACCATCAGCATCATCATCATCGGGACACCATCATGGTCACCATCGTTGTCATCGTCAACATCATCAACAACATCGGGACACCATCATCATCATCAGCTCATTATCATCATCATCATCATCAACAGCATCATCAACATCATCGGGACACCATCATCATCAGCAGCATCATCATCACCAACATCATCATCAATATCATCATCGGTACACCATCACCATCACCATCATCATCACCACCGTCATAATCATCATCATCGGGATACCATAATCATCATCAGCAGCATCAGCATTACCAACATCATCATCAACAACAACGGGCAGAACATCAACATCATCGTCATCTCATCATCATCATCATCATCATCATCCATCATTATCGGGACACCGACGGGGCACCGACGGGACACCGGCGGGACACCGCGGGCCCCCGGCCGCCCGGAAGGGAGTCATTTGGTCCGGCCGCGCCTCAGCCACACGGGACACCAGCGGGACACCGGCGGGACACCGCGGGCCCCGGCCGCCCGGAAGGGAGACATTTGGTCCGGCCGCGCCTCAGCCACAGGAGACTTTCTCTCGCCCGCCCACGCAGCTTCGCCTCGCCCGCACGGCACGCACGAACACGAAACCGAAATCGATTTCCCGGTAGGGTGGCTCTCCGTTCCACTTCGATCTCACCCCCCAACCTCCGACACCATATATTCCACCGCATGCCTCATGTCACAGATATTGCACACCATAGCTCACACCATGTAGCCCACACCATACGTATTACACAGCACAGCTTGCACCACCAATACTGCACAATATCGCTTTCAGCAATACACCCACGCCACCACACCACCCCAAAGTTCACACGTCATGGCCTGCAGCACATGTGCGTGCACGACGTGCCCGTCCGCCTCCGTGCCCACCGTTTGGGGGCCCACTGGCTAGCTTGCACGCTCTCGATATAATGGAGGATGACGATTTGTAAATGACCGGGGGTCGTGTTCACGCGGCGGCGCCCGGGATAACGATTAGAAAAAACCGGCCGCGGGCTGGAAACTATTTTTGGAATCGTTCTCCTCCAGTCAGAAAATTGTGCAGAAATAGCAGAAAATTACTTTTTGAATCGTTCTCTCCCGCTTTTTTGCATTGAATCGTCATCCGGCATGACGTGGGAGGTCTGGAGCTCCCTCGCGCCCAGGTGCGAGCGCGAGACCAAGGCCCGCCAGCACCGGGGGCTGCCCCGGAAGCGCAAGGCCTCCAGCGCCTCGTCGGCGGACGCCCCGCCCGGGCCAGAGGGGGGCCTCGCGGACGGCCGCGGCCCCGCGCGCGAGGGCGCCGCCGCCCTGGCCCTCGGCGGGCGGCAACGGGCACACCGACACCGCCGCCCAGATATGGGCAGGCCTCGGGCTGCGCGCACGCGGCCCCCCCCCCCCCGCCGGAGGTCCCGACCCCTTGCCCCGGGACCGGCTTTCCGTCCCGAGCCGTTGTTTTGACGGTCCTCGAGGGGCCCATGCAGCGCGAGGGCCTCGCGGGGTCGAACATACAGTGAGAACCCCCCCGCCCGGATTTTTTTGTTTATACGACGCCATCACGTCTGGGCACGCTCCCCCCCCCTTCTCCTCCTTTCCTCCTCCTCCTCCTCCTCCTCCTCCTCCTCCTCCTCCTCCTCATTCCTCCTCCTCCTCCTCCTCATTCCTCCTCCTCCTCCTTCCTCCTCCCCTCGATGCTTCCTCCTCCTCCTCCTCCTCCTCCTTCCTCCTCCTCCTCCTCATTCCTCCTCCTTCCTCCTCCTCGCGATGCTTCCTCCTCCTCCTCCTCCTCCTCCTCCCTCCTCCTCCTCCTCCTCCTCCTCCTCCTGCTCCTCCTCCTCCTCCTCTTCCTCCTTTGCCCCCACGCCCCCACCCCCCCGCGTGGAGGGTGCCCCGCCGAGGGCGGGAGGAGGCCTCGCCTCTGCCTCTCGGCGGAAGGGCGGGCGGATGTGAGGCGGCGAGGGGCAGCGCGGCGGAAGCTGCGCCGGCGGATGGCAGAGCGGGCGCGCGGGCCGACCTCGCCCTGGGAGGTGGCGACGCCTCTGGGCACGTTCCCCCCCCTCTCCTCCTTTCCTCCTCCTCCTCCTCCTCCTCCTCCTCCTCCCCCTCCTCCTCCTCCCCCTCCTCCTCCTCCTCCTCCTCCTCTGGGCGACGCCTCTGGAATCGGGGCTTCCGGGATCGGCCACGCAGTCCAGCTGGCCTCCCAGAGATGGGACGCACGGAACACATCTCAAGACTTTTTTTTTTTTTGTTTTCTTGTTTTGCTTCTTTGTCAGTTTTTGGCCTCCATGGCGGCCCTCGCCGGGCCCCCGGGACCGTCAACAAGCGGCTCGGGGCGAAGAACCGGTCTCGGGGAGTGGGTCGAGGCTTCCGGGGGCCCCGCACTGAAGGAGTCACGACGAGTACAGTCCGAGGCGGTCTCAGCAGGCGCCGCCTCCGGCGGCGCCCCGGGGGCGCCCTCCCCCCCCGGGGCTAAGGTGTCGAGACCTCCCCCCGCTGCGCGTGGGCCCGTTGAGGCAAGCCAGGGCTGCCTCGGGGGGGTCGTCCGTGCGCAACCCGCAGCCCAGCCAGAGCATCCACCAGTGGTTCTGATCCGATCCGCGGCCCCAGGGGCTCCATCCGCTTCGCCGGAGGAGTAGCTCCCAGAGGTCCAGCGCATCTTAAACAATCCTACGACGGAGGTTTTGTTCACGATTTCTGGCCTCTCGGGGCTCTCGCCGGGAGGAGGAGGAGGAGGAGGAGGAGGAGGAGGAGGAGGAGGAGGCCCCGAGACCGTCGACAAAGCGACTCAGGACGAAAAGCCGGTCGTGGGGAAAGGGTCGGGACTTCCGGGGACCAAGAGATCCGACGTCGTGATTTTTTCCATACGGGGTCCCCGGCACTCCCGACCCTTTCCCCGGGGACGGGTTTTTCGTCCTGAGTCGTTTTTTGACGGTCCCGGGGCCCGGCGAGGGCCCCGAGAGGCCAAAATTTGCGAAAGATCTCCGTCTCGATTTTTTCAGCACTGTGGCTCCCTCGGGACGCCGTCCTGAAAGAATCAGGACGTCGCATGTCTTGGTTTTTCGTCGCGGATCCACTCTGGACGGTGCTGGGATCCGGAGATGGGCCCCGGGGGCCGGAATCGAGAAGAGCACTCGGGATTGAAAGAGATCGTGCCGTCACAGTTCTGGGTGCCGCTGCATCGGCGCCACGGCTGCGTTCGCTCTGGGATCCTGGTCAGACCGCGGGAAGCCCAGGCAGCCGACGTCTCGATTTGGTTCGACGCACGGGCCCCCGACCTCCCGACCACTTCCCCGGGGCCAGTTCTTCATCCCGAATCGTGTTTTGTGACGGCCTTGAAGCACGGCGAGGGCCCCGAGAGGCCGAAAACAACGAACAACTTTTCGAGACGCCCGATGTCTGGGAAAGGGGGGCGGGGGAGGAAATTCACGGACGCCCACCGCCGTCCGACGGGGAGCCGCGGTGGATCGTTTCCCAGAGATCCGATGTCGTGATTTTTTCAATACGGGGTCCCCAGAAGTCTGGACCCTTTCCCCGGGACCAGTTTTTCATCCTGAGTCGTTTTTTGACGGTCCCGGGGCCTGGCGAGGGCCCCTAGAGGCCGAAAACGACGAAAACCTTCGTTTTTGGTTTTTTGTAGAGGCCGAAAACGACGAAAACGACGAAAAAGCTGCGAAAAACCTCAGGCCCTTGGTTTTTTCAATGCGTTGGATCTCTGGGTTTGTGTCCCCCCCCCCCAGGCCCTGGAGCCGCTCCCGCCGGCCGTGGGCTCCCCGCTGCCCATCGAGGAGGCCGCCGTGGCCCGGCACGCCGACGGTGCCAGCGACGCCTCCGACTGCATCGCGGAGGTCCAGGGCCCGAGGGGAGAAGAGCGGCACCGCCACCCCAGCCCAGACGTCGGGCGTCTCGAAAAAATCGGGACGAACGTTCTTCGTCGTCTTCGGCCTCCCGGGGCCCTCGCCGGGCCTCGGGACCGTCAAAAAACGACTCGGGGCGACAAACCGGCCCTGGGGAAGTGGTCGGGAGGTCCGGGGCCCGTGCCCAGACCCCCGACGTAATGGTTTTTTCGTTACGTCGCCTTCCAGAGGTCCCGACCCTTTCCCCATGACCAGCTTTGCATCCTGAGTCGTTTTTTGACGCTCCCGAGGCCCGGTGAGGGCCCCCGGAGGCCGAAAATGAAGGAAAACCTCCCGTCATGATTTTTTCATTACTCGAGGGGGTCTGGGTGTCTCGAAAAAATCGAGACGTCGGATGTTTGGGTTGCCAAAAAAACACAATGGAGCGCGACGGGAGGCGTTTTGCTCCTCTCTGCGGGCTCCGGTGGGGGCCCCCGTCGGGCCGTCAGAAGACGTCGGAGGATGGAGCGCCAGTCGTAAGTCGGGCATGCCCCTCCGCCCGAGGAGTATGGGGACGATTTTTTTGTTGTTTTTCCCAACACTCCGTGGTTGGGCATTCGTTTTGAGTAGAGCACTGCGCTCGCGTCTTCTCCTCCTCCTCCCGCCTCCTGCCTCCCGCCTCCCGCCCCCCCCCCTCCTTCTTGTCTCCTCTTGCCTTGCCTGGGGGGCTGCGATCTGCGAAGCTGTCGCCACTTGCGAGGGCTGCTGGTGGGTCCAGCGGGGTGAGGCACCGCGCGGATCTGAGCGGGACCTCCCCGTCCCTGGGGGGCTGCGATCTCCGAAATTGTCGCCACTTTCGAGGGCTGCTGGTGGGTCCAGCGGGGTGAGGCACCGCGCGGATCTGAGCAGGACGTCCCCGTTTTGAGGGGCTGCGATCTGCGAAACTGACGCCACTTTCGAGGGCTACTGGTGGGTCCAGCGGATTGAGGCACCGCGCGGATCTGAGCAGCACCTCCCCGTTTTTGAGTGGCTGCGATCTGCGAAACTGACGCCACTTTCGAGGGCTGCTGATGGGTGGTCCAGCGGAGTGAGGCACCGCGCGGATCTGAGCGGGACCTCTTCATCCCTTGGGGGGCTGAGATCTGCGAAACTGTCGCCACTTGCGAGGGCTGCTGGTGGGTCCAGCGGAGTGAGGCACCGCGCGGATCTGAGCGCGACCTCCCCGTCCCTGGGGTGCTGCGATCTGCGAAATCGTCGCCACTTGCGAGGGCTGCTGGTGGGTCCAGCGGAGTGAGGCACCGCGCGGATCTGAGCGGGACCTCCCCGTCCCTGGGGGGCTGCGATCTGCGAAGCTGACGCCACTTTCGAGGCCTACTGATGGGTCCAGCGGAGTGAGGCACCGCGCGGATCTGAGCGGGACGTCCCCGTCTTTGGGGTGATGTGATCTGCGAAACTGTCGCCACTTTCGAGGGCTACTGGTGGGTCCAGCGGGATGAGGCACCGCGCGGATCTGAGCGGGACCTCCCCGTCCCTGGGGTGCTGCGATCTGCGAAATCGTCGCCACTTGCGAGGGCTGCTGGTGGGTCCAGCGGAGTGAGGCACCGCGCGGATCTGAGCGGGACCTCACCGTTTTTGGGTGGCTGCGATCTGCGAAGTTGACGCCACTTTCGAGGCCTACTGATGGGTCCAGCGGAGTGAGGCACCGCGCGGATCTGAGCGGGACCATCCTGTCCCTTGGAGTGCTGCGATCTGCGACTTTGTCGCCATTTTCGAGGGCTGCTGGTGGGTCCAGCGGGGTGAGGCACCGCGCGGATCTGAGCGGGACCTCCCCGTCCCTGGGGTGCTGCGATCTGCGAAATTGTCGCCATTTTCGATGGCTGCTGGTGGGTCCAGCGGGGTGAGGCACCGCGCGGATCTGAGCGGGACCACCCCGTCCCTGGGGGGCTGCGATCTGCGAAACTGTCGCCATTTTCGAGGGCTGCTGGTGGGTCCAGCGTAGTGAGGCACCGCGCGGATCTGAGCGGGACGTCCCCGTCCCCTGGGGGGCTGCGATCTGCAACAGTGTCGCCAATTTCGAGGGCTGCTGGTGGGTCCAGCGGAGACATGCACCGCGCGGATCTGAGCGGGACCTCCCCGTCGCCTGGGGGGCTGGGATCTGCGAAATTATCGCCACTTTCGATGGCTGCTGGTGGGTCCAGCGGGGTGAGGCACCGCGCGGATCTGAGTGGGACCCCCTTGTCCCTGGGGGTGCGGATCTGAGCGGGACCTCCCCGTCCCCTGGGGGGCTGCGATCTACGAAACTGTCGCCACTTGTGAGGGCTGCTGGTGGGTCCAGCGGAGTGAGGCACCGCGCGGATCTGAGCGGGACCTCCCCGTCCCTGGGGTTGCTGCGATCTGCGAAATCGTCGCCATTTTCCAGGGCTGCTGGTGGGCTTGCAATTTTCGAAGGCTGCCGGTGGGTCCAGCGGAGTAAGGCACTGCGCAGATCTGAGCGGGGTCTCGCCGTCCCTGGGGGCCATGTCATGTTGTTGCTGCCCCCCGACGTTTCAAGTCGGACCTTGCGTCTTCCTTAGTGACTCAGGGGTTCACTTAGTTTCTCATCGTTTTTCCCGTGATTGGGGTCCTGCGAACCTTCCGAATGCCGCTCGCAGAAGTACATGCGTCCATGTCACGTCGCCGCCTTCTCGTCAGATCTCCTAAGCTACTCCTGCCCTGCATTGCGCAGGGGTCGGGTACGTCGCCGGGGCAGTGCTGACAGTTTTGGTGCACTGCCTGCCCATTGCTCGAAGGGTTCCTCCAGGATCCGCCTGCAGGGGGGCGTGCCCGACCCAACGCCAGTCTGCAGGGGATCGGTCAAGGCCTCGGGGCGCCAGCGCCGCCGACAGGGCACGACGCCGGTGGCCTTGGGACCAGGGGCGCCACCTCCGGCGAGGAGGTCCACGATGCGGCGATGCCTCCCCGGGCTGGGGATCGGGGGTGTCTCATTGCGGGCAGGGTGAACCACACCGCCAGGAGGACCTTCCTTGGCTCCTCGTGCGGGTGGTGGTGAGGGCGTCTGCCTTCTCTGCTCCTGCGCAGAGGGCCCGGGTTCGAGTAGGGGATCGACTGCAGAGTTGATGCTTCAGGCTTACGCCACATCTGCCGACCCCTTAAATGCGTTCGAGCTGTTGAAAGAGCAGGCGGAAATGTCGGGTGCACATAAGAAGCACAATTCATCGGGGGAGAGGCTCTGTCGGAAATGCGCGGAGGGGCGAGAGAACGAGGTGCGACGTGACGTGCGCGGCGTGCGGAGGAGCGTTCTCGGACACGAAACATTTGCAGAAGCAGCTGGTGGGGAATCATCAAAAGGCGACAGGAGCGGCGCGTGCGAGAGAAGACTACCGAAGTCGGAGAGGTCGTTTGGCGTCTCGGAGCTCTCGTGGGACGTCTTGGAGGCTTTTTGGGGGGCCTTCTTGGCCCGTGTTTAGGCCCTCTTGACCCCGGAAAAGTCCTGTGATGCGCTCGTGCCGGGCCCGGGGGGGGGCGGGGGGGGGGGGGGGGGGGGGGGGGGGCAAATCTCCGGTTTGAGGTCCCTGGGGGGGTTGTGGGGGATCTCTGGGGACGCATTTCGCAGGTTTCGTGGAGGTAGTTTCGAAGTTCACAGCTAGCCGTTTTGGGACCTCCTGGGGCCTCTTTTGGGCCTCTCGGACTCTCTTTGGAGGTCTTTTGGGGGTCTCTTGGGACCTTTTGGGCGGCTCGTGGGGTGTCCCAGGGCCAAGTGGGAGCGGAAGGCTCGGATTTTCGGTTCGGGCTCCGCCGCTGGGGCCCCTCTAGGAGCCGTCTTGGGACTCTTCTGGGCCGATTCGGGAGCCTCTGGGGCCGTCTTGGCGCCGTTTTGGGCCGTCTTGGGCGCCTTTTGGGACCTCTTGGAGCGTCTTGAAGGCATCGTGAGCTGTCTTGAGCCCATATTGGGACATTTTGGAGCCACTGAAGGCCACGTGGAGGTCCTCTTGAGCCGTCGTAGTGCGTCCCGGGGCCATTTCGAGGCCACCGGAGGAGTCCCTGCAGGATTTTCGGGAGCGGATGACCCCCCCGGGGGAATCGGTGAATTTGAACCGACCCCCCCCCCCTCCAAATCGACCGGACCGGGCTCCCGGGGGGGATCTCTGGGGAGGCATCTCGCAGGCTTCGTGGAAGTAGTTTCGAAGTTCACTAATCGCCGTTTTGGGACCTCTTGGGGCCTCTTTTGGGCCTTTTCGGATGTTTTTTGGAAGTCTTTTGGGGGTCTGTTGGAACCTTTCGGGCGGCTCGTGGGGTGTCCCAGGGCCAGGTGGGCAGGCTGAAAAGTCGTCGATGCTAAAAATGTACATTGCCCCATGGAAAATCCGCTGCTTTGGGCCTTCTTGGAGCGCCCCTTCGGGGCCTCTTGGAGCGTCTTGGAGGCATCGTGAGCTGTCTTGAGCCCATATTGGGACATTTTGGAGCCACTGAAGGCCACGTGGAGGTCCTCTTGAGCCGTCGTGGTGCGTCCCGGGGCCATGTCGAGGCCACCGGAGGAGTCCCTGCAGGATTTTCGGGGGCGGATGACCCCCCCGGGGAAATCGGGGAATTTGAACCGACCCCCCCCCCCCCCTCCAAATCGACCGGACCGGGCTCCCGGGGGAGGGGTTTGGGGAGGGGGAAGATCTCACACGCCGACGAACCCCAAGGGGTCGGCGGATGACGGGAAGCGTCTTCGAGGAACGAGAAGCGAGCTGAACGTTTTGGCTGAATCCTCTTCAAATCACTAAGAGATCTCTTAACTATAGGGGGTGGCGGATCGCACGGGGCAGAGGCTTAGCGGATGACGGGAAGCGCGCTTAGACTCTTTAGAGTCGCGCGATGGACATTGTATACCGGCCCGGAGGGGAAAGCATTTATCAAGTGGGGGGGTCTAGGGGGGGAGTGGTGGCGGGATCCGCTCTCCGTTTTCACATGGCGGATGACGGGAAGCGCGCTTAGACTCGTTAGAGTCGCGCGATGGACGTTGCATAC